CGTGGTGTAACAGCTACGCACTCCCGGAGCAGCGTGGTGTAACAGCTACGCGCTCCCGGAGCAGCGTGGTGTAACAGCTATGCACTTCCGGAATAGCGTGGTGTAATGTCTACCCATTCCTGGAACAGCATGGTGTAATGGCTGCCCGCTCCCGGAACAGTGTGGTGTAAGGTCTATGTGCTCCTGGTGCAGCGCCGTGTAATGGCTGCCTGCCCCTGGAGCAGTGTGGTATAACAGCTACTCACAGTGTTCATGTTGCACTAGTGTTCTAAACTGTGGTGTGCATACACGTGCAAAAGCTATGAATTTTACAGAAGGGACTCCATCACCCATGACATTGTGGTGTCTGTTGGGGTGGGGAGCCCTGGACATATCCCCCTGTCAGAGAGGGTAGAGGACCCAAGTCCTGGGCTGGTGTATCTGAAGGACTGTAGGATCTCATCCTGCTCCTGACCTTGGGTATCCTTCAGTCCATGGGAGGTGCTGAACGATGAGGGACAAGAAATTCCTCGATGCTTCTACACTGCGGCGGTGGAAACCAGGGTGACTGCAGTGGAGTGGAGAGGAGATGGGCATGGTGGGCAGAGGCAGGAGGCCCAGGAAGGCAAAGCTCAGGCTGTATGCCCACGCGGAGGGTGGCGTGGCAGAAGGCCAGAGGGTCTGCTTTTCTGCTATTGTTTGTGATGATGTTTTAATAGTGAGAGGACAGGTGCACCGACACTCTTGTCCTGGGGGTGGAATGGTCTCCTGGACAGTATGCCTGTGACCTGACTTTGGGGAAGGCCTGTTAGATGCTGCAGGTGGACGCTGTGTGGACAGCACCCTGGGTGTCCCTACTGGGACCAGAGGTGTGAGGATGAAGGTAGGGACAGGACAGTGCCACAAGCTGAAGAACACCTGGAACTGCCATGCTGAAAGAGCAGTGAGGTCTCCAGAGCCTCAGGGAGAGGCAACACCGTGATTCAAAGTTGGTGGCTTCCTGTGGGGGGCACAGGGTCTGGGGGAATAAGACAGAGGGGTTTCAGGCAGGCCGGGAAGACACTGCCATCCTGGTGAGTTGGGAGAAGTGGCAGAGGCCAGTAGCCAACTCAGTTGCAGCCCAAATGACGATGTAAACATCAGGGTGCTGTGCCAGAGAGGGAAAGGAAGGCTCTGCAGAGACAGCAAAGCATCTCTCAGACTGCGTCAAGGGGCAGAGTGAACCGGGCCTGGGGTTGCCTGGAGCCCTGTTGGACCTTCCTGTGGGGGGCTTGGTCAGTGGGAAGGAAGGGACGGGACGGGAAGATTTCTTCTGGAGCTGAGATGGCCTACTAGAGACGGGAGGAAGAGCCGGTTTGGGAAGGAATCAGTTTCATGTGACCAAAGTGACCTCAGAGAGACCCTGAGTCACCTGTGGGAGAGCAGGTAGGTTGGGCTCTCGAGGGGACAGTTCTCATACTGGGAGTGAATCAGACACAGCCTGGGCCAGGGGCAAACAAAAGATGAACCATTCTTAAAACACAAAGGACAACAACAGCTGGGGAAAAACCCACCAATGTGCATATCAGAGTAAACACAAGAGCCACATCTGGCTCGGAATGCGGCTGTCAGAGTCTGGGAAGACAGCTCAGCCACCAGGAGGCAGGGACAGGCGGATCAAAACTGCAAGGGCCTCGGGTGAAAAGTCCTGAGAGAAGAAGGATGGCAGAGGGCCAGGGCTCAGCGCAAGAGCCACTCGCCTGGAACTCTGGGTAGACCACGAACTGGGACCCTGCTGCTGGGCTTTAGGGTGTCGACAGCAGCTGGGCTGGGAGGCAGAGTGGGAAGAGAGCTCTGAGAAGTGACCCAAAGGAAGTTCACAGGGCACAAACGTAAAAAACTGGGTCAATGAAGTCACGCGTGGGGGGGGGGTACTGGGACCAAACTAAGGGCCTTTGCACTCAGCTACATCCCTAGCCCTTTTAATTTTTTACGATCTAAGTCACTAAGTTGCCCCAGTGAGGCTTGAACTTGCAAACCTCCTGCCTCAGCTTCCCAGAGCGCTGAGATCACAGGCATGCACTACCATATCTCCTTTGTTTTACCTCTTTTGAATAAAAGAGGGACCTAAAATGGGACCGATTACTGATTAGGTTCCCGTTTCTTTATTCCAAAAGGAAACACTGCGAAGACGGTTTGCACTGATGCATGAATGGAGGCAGCTTCTGTCCCAAGATCGATGCAGCAGAGGAGGTGGACACTGCCAGTCTCGAACCTGGCCGTTCGCCCGTCTCCGGGTCCACACGCATCCCAGGCGGGCCCCCTTCTGACATCCCGCGCCAGGCGCTTGCGGCCAGCAGCGCCTCCTGGCTCGGTCCGTACGGGAGGCCAAAGAAGCACCGGGGAGCGCCCGGGTGCCACGGCTCAGGCGCCCACAGGCAAGCGTCCGCGGTCTGGCTGCGAAGCACTGTGGCCGCCCAGGACTTCCTCGGGGGCCGGTAGGGCGCGTAACCCCAAAGGCTGCCTCGTTATCACGGTGAATTATTCCCGCTTCAGCAACAGGGAGGAGTCTCCCTAACAGGAACGCTTCCCCCTAACGGGACCGCAAGCAGCCCCACCAGGAGAGCAGCCGCCTGCGGAGGTTCGGGTTTCCTCGGAAAGCCGCAGGCGGGGGCGGCGAGGAGACGTCTGGGCTCCTGTCCCCGCGAAAGGGACCGCAGCCGTCTCCGGGGGCGGCGGGGCCCCGTCCTCCCAGCAGCTCACAGGGTCGCTTCGGGGTGCGTGGCGCCCTCGTCCCGCCCGCCAGCCCCGGCGCGCTCCAGCTGGGAAAGTAAACAGATGCCGGGAAGCACTGAAGGCGCCGCGGCAGCCGGGAGGAAGTGACATTTCTTTGTCAGCCACTTTCCAGACCGACGCCAGGCTGCGCCGCCCGGGGTGCCGTGGGAAAGCTTCCGGGCGGGGACGCAATCCGAGCGGGCTGCTGGGACACAAAGAGGCTGCGCGGGGCCCGCAGGAGGCAGGGGCGACCCGGCGTCTCTACCAGAGTCGGGCGCTCACGCCCGGACCTCCCTGTCGCGCATGCGCCCGGAAGCGCCCCCGTAGGCGGGGCTCGCGGTGGGCCGGGGGCGGGGCCTCGGCGGG